CGATATTTATTTATTTATTTATTTATTTATTTATCAATCAATCATATTTGTACCTCCACCCCTCTCACAAGAGAGTGACTCTGGGCTGCATACAACACTTTATTAAGAAAAAAACAGTCAATACACATAACATCCACCTCCCTCCCGCCAGTTTCTCATTCAGGTTTGATTCACCTCCTTTGCGTGAAAAGTTTTCTCTGAATGGAGCAAACCGAGAAGCAGCACATTCGAAACACCTGTAGAAAACTCTGTTGCTTGACGACCGTGAGTATGAGACTGCGGCAATCTCTCCTCTCCGCAGCTTGGCCTGATAGCGTCCTATTCTCTGTGGGCCGTTTCCAGGAGCTTTGAGATCTTTCTTTGCTCCAGAATCGTCGGTGGAATCAGCAAAGGGAACGTCAGCCTCTCCACTGCCATCATTGCTGATTTGCAGTGTCCAAAAGCTCGAAGTAAAGGCATGGTGAGTCACCTTCTCCTTTGTTGATAAAGCTCCTAGCTTAGTAGATGGTGATGGCGATGAATTATTGTGTCAACAATTTATATAGCCACCCATCTCGTTCTTACCCCTCTGCGCAGCTAGCAATACATTAGGAGCCAACATAGAAAACCCCAAAGGAGGGCTAAAAAGAAGTGTAACAGGAGCAAAACGATAAACACAATACGGAATAGACAGTACAACAGTATTTCTTGCTCAGCCGCACAGGTTAGACTCATCTAGCATCCCAACACCTGGGAGAAGAGCCGGGTCTCTGATGCCTTCCTAACGGCTTACGGCTCAGGGCCGCCTGTCTCGAGCGGGAGGCCATTCCAGAGGTCACAGCAGAAAAGGCAAGTCTCCTGAGTCCCGTTAGAGGCCCCTGCTTCTCAGAAGCATGCCACCGGCCGAAGCATGCCCATTCTGCCAGATCTAGAGAGACAAGGAGATGCAATCTGCTGAGGTGGGTGGTCCCTAAAGTAACCTGGCCCTGGGCCGCGTAGGGCTTCGTAGGTGAGGACAGGCACCTTGAATTGGGCCCAGGAGTCCACTAGGAGCCCACATAGTTCACAGAGCGGTGGTGTTGAATGGGCGTGCAGTGGTATGCTCAAAACTGCCCGTGCCTCCACATTCTGGAGCAGCTGCAGTTTCTGATGGCTCTTCGTGGGCAGTCCCGTGTGGAGCACGTTGCCAGTTTGAACGGGACGTGGCTAGGGCAAGAGTGACCATGAGCAGGGCCTCCTGGCCTAGGAATATGAAGAAACGGTGCGCAAAATAGATTTGTGCACTAACTCAGTTGGGGGGAGAGCTAGCCCTTTCGGAGTCAAAGATGGAAAATTTCCCCTAACTCACAACCACTCAGTCCTGCCAGAGGTTAAGCCAGCCGTCCAGCGCAGCTTCCCAAACAGGTTCTGATATCTGATTGTCTCTGGAGCCACGTCCCTGGAGGCCATCAGGGTCTCTCAGATAGCAACAGCCGCACCAGTTGTGGATGAGGACGGCTTTGTTGCAGGCTGGCTGTGCGTGCAGCAGCGGCAGCTGGAAACCAAGGCTACCGAGGCTCCGGTGACCAGGCACTGGGGCTTGGAACTGGTACAAGACGCTTTCCGTCTCGTGGCGGCCTGGAATGTTGTTCAGAAACTGGAGTGTGTCAGCTGACGTGGGGAAGGTGATCCCTTCCTGATCTAGTCAGAGTAATGGGACAGAAAGGGTGAAACCATTCATCCGTGAAAATCTTTCTGCCTTCTTTAATGTCACAAATGTAATTGACAGAGGAGCATTGAACCTACTGGCCAAATTTCATCAAAGTTTAATGGATTTACTGCCCATAAATTTGTTCCCCATAATAAATGCATTCCCCCAAACATTTATATTAACCTATTTATTTTAGCGAAGCTGTATTTGGCTCACCAAATTGCATTTGTTCTGCAGTATTTTTTCCTGAAAGCAATGCCCTTTTTAGGTGTGAAAGAGTTCTTATAAACTCTGTGCCATCAAGTCAAATCTTAGATATCATTAAATAGAACATTATTTCTGTCTTTGAAATAATGGTCTTCTTGGCATCCTGTCTGAAATGAAACTCCAGTTGAGTTGGCTAGAAATGTTTTTAAATATTTGTACTTGGAACAAACAGCCAAAAAATCCTGCATATTGTCTCCTGTTGTTGTCATTCACAATGTGTGATTCATAACTCTGTGGCTCAGGGGTGGGGGGGGGCACAAAGAAGGCAAAAGGTGCCCCCATTTCAAAAACGGCACTGCTCCTGGACCGAAAGCGCTGAAGGACGATGTGGCGCAGCCGGGAGAAGCCGGGTCGGGACTGAGGCTAGGGCTAGTGGCCCCGGGAGCCCCCTCAGAAGAAGGCTGTGCGGGAGCATTAGCCAAAGGCTGTTGGGTGCAACCTTTCCCCAGGCCATGATCGGCCTGGCTTTCTCCCTGGGCTTCACGCTGGGGCCGATGCTCGGCGCGTATCTCGCTCTGGAGACGGAGAAGGACGAGCTCTTCTACGTGAGGTCTGCTGTCTTTGCTGCCATCTTTGCTGTTGCCGATTTCGTGTTCATCTTCGTCTGGTTGCCGGAGACGCTCCCAAAGGAAAAACGGGTAATGCATTCAGAAACCGATCAGAAAACAAAATGGGGTCATTTGGTTAAAATAGGAAAGGAGCACCGTCCTCTTCATAGTTTCAAAATGCGCACTGCGTGCCAGGGAGAGGGCTTTGCAGCCAGGGATTTCTCCAGCGTTCCCAGCGTGGGATCCAGGCCAAGAACAAACTCTTGCTTCCAGGGAGAGTTTGGTGGGAAGCCAGAGCCTCGCCACTTGGTCCAAACCACTCACGAGAAAGTGGCTATTTCAAGACCACGAGCTCTTCCCTGCCCTCTCTCTTCTGGGGTGCTGCTGTTGGGCTGAACTTCCCGCCTCCCAGCCAGTGTGGAGGGCACCTGCTTGCAGCCTGCTATCCTAGAGAGAAAGCCAGAAGGTGCCAGGGGTACCATGTGGGCTGGCTTCACCCTGGGAAGCATGTTTTCCCCACTCCAGTAACCAACTTTGCCTGGAAGCTGTGACCGTTGGAGAGGCGGTGTAGCAGCTCTGCATGCTTAATGCTCTGAGGGGCTCTAATCATGCTGCGTCGCCAGTTGCACAGAGAGCCCCCTTGTGCGTAAGAGGGGCTCCCTGCCAGCCTAGACACTTGGAGGGAGTTGAGTGTGGGCATGGGATCTCTCCCCTCCTCTCCCGCTCATCTCCACACTGAAAAGATAGATCACGGGCGTAGGTCTGTTTGAGGCTTCATAGTTGCTATGAAAGCAACTCAAGAGAACACCGGGCTGTTCGTTTGCCAACTGAAGTCAGTACTCTCTGCAGAAAGATCACAATCCAAAATAATCGTCTGTACATCTTGAGAACTAGACAAAATGTTACCTTTCCCCAATCAGATACAGGTAGTCCTCACTTAACAACCACAATTGGGACCAGAATTTAGGTCGCTAAGCAATGCAGTTATTAAGTGAATCATCATGTGACCAGACCCGATTTTATGACCCTTTTTATGGCAGTCATTAAGTGAATCACATTGTTAAGTGAATCACACAGTTCCCCGTTGGTTTTCCTTGTCAGAAGCCAGCTGGGAAGGTCACAAATGGCAATCATGTGACCCCGGAACGCTGCAACTATCATAAGTGTGAGCTGGTTGCCAAGTGCCCGGATCATGATCACGTGACTGCGGGGGCACTGCAACGGTCGTAATTTTGGGCACCAGTTGTAAGTCAGTTCTTTAGTGCCGTTGTAACTTCAGTTGCTAAATGAAGAGTCGTTAAGCAAGGCTACTTGTAAATAGTATATATCCCAAATTGAGATTTTTTTCTACATCATGGGTGAGATTTCCCCAAAGTATGAAAGCTTATAGATGCTAAAACCAATTTAAAGGAAGAACATTTCCTCATGAGCAATCATCACCCAGATAAGCAGAGATTAACACCAGACCTACAATCAGCAGTAAACAATACCCTAATCAAGGAGCTACCAGAGGGAAAAAAAATAAAACAAAACAAAGCCCCCACCCCCACCGACACTGGCAGGGCTGGATATAAACGGAGAGCAAACCCCATCCCATCCCAGCACTGAAGATGTCACCTAGCCGGGTGACGAAACGTCTGCAAGAAAACAGCCAAGCTCAGAGAGCACCAGGGACTCCACCGTGCAACCCTGAGCTACACATATTCGCTTCTGTTGTATTTAGAATTCACAGATGCGTACATCTGAAGTTTGTGATAACTGGTTGCTTGGGTAAACTTCCGCTACGTGCAGGACTTGAGGTATATGTGTGTGGGTGGATGGGGGGAATTCCCTTCAGCCTCATCACCTCTTCTCTCTCCTGGGTTGGTTAGGTGCCCTCCGTGCTGTCTGGCTTTCGGTCGGCATTCAACCTGATCAATCCCTGGGCCTTATTCCAGTTCGCTGCTGTACGTCAGAAGATGGGAGGCCCCTCCAGAGACAGTAAGTCTTCTACATTTTCTGTTCTAGCATTTCCTTTTATTATGACTGTTGAGTTCTCCTCTGGAATGATCCTGCAAACCTCTCTCCGGTCTTTTCCCAGCTCAGGGCTGAGGTCCCCGCCCAGAGGGAGACAGGCATTTGTATAAATGGAGATGTGAGGTTCAGTCAACCGTTTAGATAGATCAGCAGAACGCCTTCACTACCAAACCCCGTATAAAGAAATCTGTCCTCTCGCCCCTCCACCTCCCACTTTAACAGTGTCGTTCTCCGTGGTCTTTTCTGACACTTGCGGGTTCATGATGTGCCAAGTCTGTTGCTTGAAGTACACAGTGTGTGAACCGCACTTCCTCTTGGAATGTGGTGTTGGGAGTGATTTGATTTAATTTACTTTTAATTAAAATTAAATGAAACAGAATGATTCTCCAGTCAGGTATTTAATGTTTTTCCTCATCTGTCCCCAACATACAACTTTTACACAGCTTCGGGTGGCTGTACATGTTTTTAAAGCCCCCAGTACATGTTGGAGATGGTTAAGCCTCATTAGATGCTTGGCAAGTAATAAGCAGAACCATGGTTAACCCTGGCTGGAAGATTCCCTGTCGTTCCCCTCCTGTCCTACCAAAGACCTGTTTTGTACACTCAATCCTCGTTATCCATGCATTTTGTTTCCGCAGATTCGCTTATACGCTTCTATAAAAGCGTAACCCATTTTTCGTCAAATGCGGTCTCGATGCGGCCATGTGCAGTAGGGAAAAAAGTTAGAGTCTTATTGTGCAACATCAACACGAGCTACACTAAGGGAAACTGTGCTCTTGTTCTTATGGTATTTGTTGTGTTAAGAAGTCTCCACGTTGTTCTGATAATAGATCACATGATCTCACTAGGATCAAAGCTTCAATAACCACAGTTTCCGTTTCTGTGGGAGTTTTCAAGAATGTAACTCCTACGGATAATAAGCATTGTGTATATTCATAGGAGTCTGGCTTCAGGGTATCGCTGACCCTTTTCCCCACTGGCCAGGCTGATGGCATGGGAGAAACGGCCCTTGAGCACCATCAGGAGAAGAACCCTTCTCCGGCTCTTTTCCCTCTCTGCTCTGGGCCATCCCAGCTGAGAGAAATCGTCTGCCGCAGAGGCGGACTTTGCTTCTTTCTGCCCAGCAAACCATTTGCTTGCAGTCCCAGATAGCCAAGCCCTAAGCCACGAGGGGCTTTAAAGGTGATATCCAGCACCTTGAATCGCACCTGGATAACCAGTGCAGCTCGCAAAGCAATGATGTCACATGAGCATAATGTGCCACTCCCATCACTGCCCACATTGCTGTACTTCAGACCAGCTGTAGCTTCTGGATCTTCTTCGAGGGGATCTTCATGTACAGTGCATTGCAGTAATCCAGTCGTGAGGTGACCAGGGCATGACTGACCATCTGAAGAACCTCTTGATCCAGGAAAGGACACAACTGGTGCGCTAGATGAAGCTGCTCTTTGAGCAGTAGCTGCAAGTCCAGGAGGTTGTGCGCAATCTCAGCTGGGGAAGTACAACCCCATCCAGCAGCAAAGATGGAAACTTTCCAGATATAGGGGGCCCAAACAGCCACAGTGACTCCGTCTTGTCAGGGTTGAGCCTGAGTCTGTTTCTCCCCGTCCATACCCAACGATCTTTAGGCAGTACGTTGACAGCTTCACCTGTGCGGCCTGGGGTTGAGATGTACAATTGGATATCATCAGCATACTGATGATACTAGACCTTGAACTGACATATGGCCTCATCCAGTGGTTTCATCTAGATGTTAAACAGGAGGGGTGAGAGTGTTGAGCCCTGAAGCACCTGTCAGCTCCACAAGGTAGACCAGACTAAGAAACAAGTGCCATGTAGGTCAGGACTACTTTTATTGTAACAGCTGTAGGAACAGAACCTTGCATGTCTGAATGGGCTTCCCCCCTCCCTCAACTTTATCTTCTTGTGAACTGGGGAGGAGCTTGACTGAGATGTTTTCTCAAGTTATTTTCTTGGCCCGGGCTCAAGCCCCACATATCTGTCTGTTGCCTCAGTAGCGGCCTTTCCTCTGGTCCTTCAAGGCCATTCCCTATGCCCTCCACAGCATCCCACAAGTGAGGGTCCACGGGTGAGACCTCTCCCCCTGTCAACACTGACAGGAACAGACTGGTGAGGAAGGGGTGAACCACTGCAGTGCAGTGCCTCCCATTCCCAACCCTCACAGCCAGTCCAGAAGGACACCAGGGTCAAGAATACTGAAGGCCACTGAGACCACGTCCCAGCCCTTCCTTCTGTGGGATTTACCAACTTTAGCAACCTGGTTGCAGATTACCCCAGACTTTTACTAGTTCCATACCATGTATGGAGTAAGAGCCTGGATAGAAGCAAAATGCAATGGCTCAGGAGGCTGGGATAGCAGCCTGATTCTGTTGTTCTCCTCCTGTTCCTGCTCTTGCCCCCCGGGGAGATACAAAGGCTTGCTCTGCAATGCATCTGAGTCCTTTAATGAGTAAAAGAAAAAACATGTAAATGGATGGAGAGATGGAAAGAAGAGGGTGAGTGGGGTTTCCAAATATCTTGCATCTCTAAATGTGAGATCATGAGAATTATGATCTGAACATCTGTCAGATGTTGCATTGCCAACCCCTGCAGAGAGCTGCCTCCATGGAACCAACCTTATTGAGAGATCAGACCTTCCCAAGGCCAGCACCAAGACTGGTCCACTTCTAAAGAGAATAGTGAGTCTCCCAAACATATTTGTAAGAGATTATCATTAGAGCAACCTGGGAATAACTCAAGTCATGCAAGTGCTACAAGAATTTCTACAGAGTAGTTTTCCTTGAGTTGAACTTGACTCCTAGTGACTTTATGGAAATATCCATTTAGATTTCTTGCAACAGCAAGGAAGTGGCTTCTCACTGCCGACTTGTGGGGTGCTTGGCTGTCTCATGAAATGAAGAAGGTTGAAAAGACATCCTGGGAAAAGGCAGAAAAGGCAAACCATTTTCACATTAATGCAAGAAAAACCAGGATGTTTCCATGAAGTCCCCAGAGTCAAGCTTGACTCAGGAGAGTCTCAAGGTAGGCCACAGCACATAAAGAGAGAGCAAACCCCATCCCATTTTAGCACTGAAGGTGTTACCTAGCCGGGTAATGATACGTTTGCAAGAAAAGAACCAAGCTCAGAGAACCCCAAGGACTCCTCAGGAGAGTCTATCTTTATCCTACCTGGTTTGCAAACAATAATTTGGAAGGTATGATAGGACTACTCAGCTAATTGACAGAATTCCAGATCCTGATCTCACAATTCCAGATCTGAAGCCAATCCCAATCCAGGGTTTGCAAAGAAGAGAGATTTTGTTGATGCTCTTGTTTACAAATAAGCCTTGACTATTTTATTCTTTTAACAGGTCTCAAGATCCTGGGCCTGGTGTATTTCCTATACCTCTTTCTGTTCTCTGGTCTGGAGTACACTCTGAGTTTTCTTGTTCATCAACACTTCCACTTCAGCAGGTATTTAAAAGGATCTGGCCAGCGAAACTCATCACCTAAAAAGGATAACCATTATATCAGTGGAATTTTATAAAACCAGTTTATTCAACTGTGTTGTGTTAAATGCAGTACTAGATTTCTTCTCCCATCTATACCTGCCACCCTTGATAAAATAGTCTCTGAAAGAGAGTTATTTTCCTGTAGTCCCCATGGAAGGTCCCCCGTAAAGGAGCACACCTAGGTTGAGGGAGACATTTTCAAAGATTCTTGCTAGCAGTAGGAGTCTAGTTGTAATGTTCCAGGAGCAACAGATACTCACTTTTGTGTTTCCCAAAGAATAAGTTGAGTGGCGTTTCTGGATGATGAACCCTAAAGGTTGCTGGAGTTGGGCTGCTCCATTGAGACACAAGTGTTGATGCTGCTTCACCAGTGGGGAAAAGCCTCCCAAACCCCATCCAGCTTTATCCAGGTGCTGCGACCACAGAGTTCGTGTTTCAGCTCTCCCTTTTCCTGTCTTTAGTTTGGAACAAGGGAAGATGTTCTTCTTCATTGGAGTCACCATGGCTGTGATCCAGGGGGGCTACACTCGCCAGATTAAACCAGGAGAAGAACTGAAGGTTGTTAAAAGGGTAAGTTTCTTTTTTAGCCCTTCAGATGACTATACAGGTGGTCCTCACTTAACAACCATTCATTTAACGATCCTCCTGAGATGCGTCCAACAAACAATCCGTAGGCTCCCATCTCACCCTACCTGTCTGCGGGAAGAGCCAGATCTTTATAGCCCTCCAGAAGGCGAAGACAGTGGGGGGCACTACAGAAAAGGCACACTTTTTCTCCCTAAATGGCAACATTTAAGGGAAGGGAACTGGAGTGGCCCACTCTGTCCAACCTGGTTGGGGGGCCAGATACCCCCAGGGAGAGGTAGTCCTGCAAATAATCTGACCCTGTGCCGTTCAGGGCTTTAAAGCTGATAACAAGCACCTTGAATTGCACCCGGAAAAAAAAGGGAGCCAGTGCAGCTTGCACAACAGCAGTGTGATACAAGCAAACCGAGGGGTGCCCAACACTGCAAATGCTGCTGTATTCTGGACCAGTTGTAATTTCCAGGTGGTCTACAAGGGCAGCCCCATGTACAGCACACTGCAACAGTCCAACTGGAAAGTGACCAAGGCATGAGTGACTGCAAGCAAGACCCCCTACCAGGAATGGCCACACAATTGTCGCACAAGATTAATCTGTGCAAAGGCCCCTTTGGCCACATCTGTCACCTGCTCCTTGAGCAGGAGCCACGGGTCCAGGAGGATCCCCAAATTGTGCACCAGCTCTGTCCAGGGAAGTGCAACCCCATCGAGAATCAGACATGACATATCACCAGACCATGGGGGGCTGAAACCCCAAAGCTGCTCCATATTGCTAGGGTTGAGCTGGCGCTGGTTCCTCCCCATCCAGAGCCTCGCAGCCTTCTGGCAATGGGTCAGCCCCTCAGCTGCATCACCTGGCCAGCTCAGGTGGGGATGTACAGCTGAGTATCATCAGCTACTGAGGATACCATACCCCATCCCGTCAAATGATCTTACCCAACGGTTTATGTAGATGTTAAAGACAAGGGTAAGCCACCCAAGCTCTGAGGTACCCCACACTGTAGGGGTCTAGGGCTGAACCTCTCCCCCTACCACCACCAACTAGAACCAGCCCCAGAGAAAGGAGGAGAATCGCTGTAAAACAGTGCCTCCCACTCCCAATCCCCAGAGCCGGTCCAAAAGGATTCCATAGTTGATGGTATCAGAAGCTTCTGAGAGATCCGGGAGAGCCAGGATAATTCCACCACCTTCATCCTGAGCCCTCCAGAGGCCGTCCACAAGCGTGACCAATGTCATCTCAGTACTCTAACCTGGCCTGAACCCAGACTGAAAAGGGTCCAGATAATCTGCTTCACCCAGAGCCCTCTGCAGCTGAGTGCCCCCTCTCAACAACATTGCAGCACTGATGACCCTGACCGTTTCCTCAGGATTGACCGACTCAAATTCCTCCCAAATAGCCAAGCTCAGACATGAATTGGTCGCTTCCAAAGGCCCTGCCCAGCCGGAATCAACTCTGAATGAAGTCAAGTGACTTCGCCTAACATGCTGAGAACGTTCCTCACACTGGCCCTGCGAGTGTTGCCCTGGTTCCTCCTTACTCAAGACCTGTTCACACGAAACAGGGCTGGTGGGCAGCAATCTGCAGACACAAGAGCAGAGAAGTCAGCTTGCTCTTCGGCTAAGCTAAGTCTTAACAAAGGCTCTTGCCTGCACTCCGTTGGCCTCACTCTTTCTCTTCCTTCAGCAGTTCTCTAGGCGTCTCTTGCGTTGCTTCATCTCTCAGGGCTCCTCAGTAAACCAAGGTGCTCTATGAGATCTGCGGCCATGGAGAGTCCGCCTGGCTGTTCTCTAAGGACCGTTTCAGAAGAGTCCCACAGCTGCAAATAGGTGGTTGTGTTTCAGTTCCTGATGCAGAAGGAGTAGGTGGAAGCTCCTGTGATTGCAAAGAAAGCTGGGCCTGGTCGATGGGATTTAGTATTCTCAAAGTGTTAACAGTCCATTATTGTTAACACCAATAATGAGATTTCTCACTCCTCTTTTACTTTCTCTGGACAGGCAATAATGCTGTTGGCTCCTGGTTTCCTTTTAATCGGCTGGAGCAGTAATGTTATCATCCTAAGTGCAGGGCTGCTGTTCTACTCCTTTGGTAAGTTCCTCAAACAAACCTTTTCAACTACAAATTCATAGAGTTCAATTCAACAATTCAATTTGTTACTTGGAGTCAATTAAATGTATTCAAATGTCTTTACGATTCATAGATCGTTTTCCTTGCTTATAAAATGTAGAGGGGACTTCTGGGGCCTCAGTGTCTGCTGGATCTTTCCAACTGGTTTGGAACCCAGAAGATTATTTGCAGCGTCCAGGAATCAGTAGTCTTAGCAAGGCGTTCTTTGTTTAAAAAGGCATTTAATCTGAGCTGTTGAGTAGTACTCGTTAAAGAAGGACAAGACACGAGAATTACATTGTCAGAAATTGTCCCTTGCTTGTAGGAAGATTGCCTTTACAGAACGCTGCTGGCCGGTCCATTCTTAAGCCTGCCTTCCTCCTGGTCATGTGGCCCAGATGGAGCTGCTATTCGGTGGTTGGAGAGAGTTGAATATGGTCAATTTCACTTTTTCTTAGAATTAAGAACTTCAGCATAACACGATCATTTTCCCCAACTTTTCTGCTCTATTTCTTAGCCACATTTTCTCTATTGATTAGAATCAAGTTTAGCTGATTCTCTTCTGCCTTCCTCCACCCCTCTGATGGGGGTAGTTGTCAGCAGGACAAATCAGGAATTTCCTGGAAGGACCATGCTTGGCCAAATTTAATATCAGGATAATTTATGCTTCCCATCACTACAACTTAATGCCAGAATTTGCCGTTGAAAGGTATCATCCATATCTTCTTGGTTAGTTGGGCAGGAATAGACACAAACAACGGTTTGTTATTTTATTTGTTCCTCCATTTATTTTAACGCAGGCACTCTGTACTGCATCACCAAAGCCATTCTCTTGGACTTCTCAGCATTTTTAACTTATAGCACAACCCCTCTTCCCTTTCAGAATTTATTCAGAAGGTTCTACTCCTTCTGAATAAATTATATCCTTCAGTTGTTGTGTTCCAGTCTGTGTTAAAACGATTAAATCCCGTTTGTCTTTCTGTACTTAACCTCATCACTTTTATTTGGCTGTACCCAACAAGGTGCAGTTCAGTGGAGGGAAGAGTCAGGCAGGAAAAGCCAGATGCACAGGCACAGGGTAGGCAGGGCCTGGCCCCACAGTGGTGCCTATGAGGGGGACCGAGGTGTCCTGGTGGACCACCCCTTAAGCGTGAGCCAGCCGTGTGCTGCAGCTGCCCAAAAAGCCGACGCAGTCCCGGGCTGCATCCACAGAGGGATAGGAACAAGACCAAGGGCAGGGATAGCGCCGCTCTGCACCGTGCTGGCGAGGCCACACTTGGAATCCTGCATCCAGTTCTGGTCACCACAGTACAAAAAAGACGCCGAGGCCCTGAAAGAGCGCAGAGAAGAGCAACGAGGACGATGAGGAGTCTGGAGGCTAAATCCTGTGAGGAATGGCTAAGGGAACTAGGTATCTTTAGCTTAATGAAGAGAAGACTCAGGGGAGGCATGATGGCAGTCTCCCAATACTTGAAGGGCTGCCACAGGGAGAGGGGATGGATTTATTCTCTATGGCGCCTGAGGGTAGGACAAGAAGCAATGGGTGGAAGCTCATCAGAGGGAGATCCAACCTGGAAACGAGGAATTTCCTGACAGTGAGAACGATTAAGCAGCGAAACAGCCAGCCTCCGGGAGTTGCGGCTGCTCCATCGCGGGAGGTTCTCAAGGAAAGATTGGACAACCGTTTGTCCGAGATGGTATGAGGACTCCTGCCGTGGGCAGGGGGTTGGACTAGAAGACCCCCAAAGTCCCTTCCAACCCTAGGATTCTAGGATTTTCCATACTCTGGACAATGAAACCCATGCCTTTTATGAGCCGATATTCTGATTCTCTGTTGAGCGAGTTACAAAGTTCTATTTTCAGCAACACCCCGACCTTCTACAGGGCACATCTTTATCTGAGGTCCTTATTCGGGGGAGCTGATTCTGCACCTGTATAGGATTCATTTTCAGTCATGAAGCTCATTATATTTGGATCAAATAAGGAAGGTCACTATATTTGGATCAAAAAGTGTTTTTCCCATTCCTTGTGAGGTATAGCCTATCTTGTACCAGCAGTTCATCATCAAGATTGCTCAGGCCATGGTCCCGGCAACTAAATTTCTCCCGTTGGCATCATTTGCTTGGCCAGTCCCTGACTGCCGATATTCCTCTGTCCTCTTCCCGCGAACTGGCTGGAGAGTTGAGAACACGACCTCCACCCTGGGGATTCTCTAAAGCTGCAGTGATGTACATGGCTGCTTTCTCTAGTATTATTATTTTCCCTGCATGTTTTAGCAAGAAGGGAGTTGTGGGTAGAGGTTGTTCCATCACATCCTGGAAGGCAGACTGGGCTCTTCTGGAGACAGCGGCTGGGTCTGGCCGGCGCGGATCTGTAGCAGTTAGAGAAAGAGTTCTAGTGGTCAGGGATGATCTCTTTAACAGCATTTTTGCAAAAGCTGAAGGAGTGTGCTATGCGAATGAATGGGAAACTAACATTTGGGTCATTTGCAGCCCTGGCTCCTGGACTTTTATTCCACCTCTCTGGCTGGTCTGGGCTGCTGTTTTCTTGAACTTACTATTCTAGAAATGTTTGGAAGATGAAATATTTAACAATGCTGAGATGGACCTCTTGAAATTTTGGAATTAATCCCTTTTCATAATGTGGGAAAATACATTTTCTTTCAAGAAAAGAACATTAACAGCATGGCCGATGGTGATGTCAGGTTTTTAAAAACGTAGATGGGATTATGCGGAACATTTGAAAAAGGTGCTTCCCAAGCATAGTAGCCTGAAGGAGAGCATCTCTCTTCACCCTGTTAAGGCAGCCATTTCCTGCGCAAGGGTTATGGGGCTGCTTCATTTGTGCACATCCACACCTGGAGATTTGGCTGGGGCAGCCTTCCAAAGGACATGGCTGCTTTAATGCTTCAAGGAAAGGCGTCCTCTTGTAAACTCTTTGTACAGTACTAGTATTAAGAGAAGTTAATTGGGATCCCAGCCTGTAGGGAGACGATACCAGCTGCTCCTACTCCCAACCTTGAGGAAAAATACAGAGCGAGTGGAATAGAGACATTTGTTGGTGCTCCAGGTGAGGTGACGGGCTGGTCTGGCAGGCTTATGGTCAGAGATTCTCCGTTGCAGTTGCTCACCGGTTTAATAGCATTGTTTACCTGCTTGCAGCTGCGGCGGTGGCTGTCCCTTGCTTGTCTACGGTGGTGTCCAGCTACGGTAAGCGAACTGCCTTCCGGTGCAATCCTGCTGGCTGTTGGGGCTGAATTGTGCTTCTGCTGAGCCAGGTTCTTTCCTTTGCTGACATGAATGGCCCATTGTGTGACCTCCGACCCTGGGATGGTCAGCTTCGCATCCAGCACTTCGTTAAGTACGAGAGAATAAAGGAGGTGCTCAGAGAAATAGAGTTTTCCCTAGCTGGGAGACCAGCTAATTATTCATATAAATATTGGTATGACTGCAGATCTTGAGAACTGACACAAATCAGTTTTCTCTAAAGGTGCTTCTAGACCTCGGCATTAGCAATTTCACAGGGCATCTAAAGGATCTTTAGATATCAGCCCACGTTCTTCATCTGTGTGGGCCGGTTCCACAAAGAGGTGGGAGGACAAGATTTTGGACAAAGACTAGGTGACTGTGGGCCAATAGCTCCTCAGCCCAACGTATCTCACAGAATAGCTGGGGGGCGAGATGGAGGAGGGAGGACAGGAGGAAAATGGGGCATCAGTCTCGCAGCTAAAGAAAGAGGTTGCTGTTCTGTCCTGCTTCACTGACACTGTTTTTTTGGGGGGGGGGCAGAGAGATGGCCTTGGTGCCATAGAGATGCCAGCTTTCCATCCTTGTTCTCTCCCTAAACACATTAGAAAGTTCTAGAAGGCAAATACTGATTTTATACAGGTTTTCTTTATTTAAAGAAAGAATGTTTACACTGGAATTCTAGAATCTTAAAATACTCCAAATATAGTATTTTGAAATTTGCTCTGCACCTTGTCTCTCTGTCTCTCTCGTGTTTTGTGTCTGTGGAACCATCGTTCTGCAAATAATATTGTTTTAAAATGGAATCCTGCAAACTGGAGATCTGCGTTGGATCCTCAGGCTTGTCCCGTGCATGCATTTTCTGCTGGCTGTTACTAAGATTCTGAACACGTTTCTGTGACTAGCTGCGCCATCCTCCCCTGAAGGAACTTGCTTCCGTGGATGGATGCCCTCAGTGTAATACAAAACACTTACACGGGGCACGGAGAGAATTACTGCTTTTTCTTTCAAAATCTATTGCAATTTCATTCTAGTGCTTTTGTAAATATATGCCTAACAATTTAGCAGAGTTTTGCATTTCTTTTTATTTAAAGTGGGACTTCCTCTGTGATGCTCTGTTTTTCTTACTGAAAGAACGAATGAGCAAAGGGAGGAGTGCAAAGTGATTGTTACTTTGACTAGTGGGGTGTTTGCTGCGCAACCACGTTCTCCAGAGGAAAATGGGTGAACCTTTCAAGCAGCGACGGTTGAATCTACCCGAGCGCTTTATTTGCTCCCCAGTTCAGTGTTTGAAAAAGGCAAAGGAAAAGCCTAGCGAGGAAGCCGGCTAAAGCTCTTCTTCTTCCAGGGCTGGAGAGCCAGAAGGGGACCGTGATGGGCACCTTGCGAAGCTTGGGAGCCCTTGCGAGGGCGCTGGGGCCAGTGGCGTCAGCAACAGGTGACTGGGCGGGGGGGCCGTGCACAAGCACATCGTTCGGGGGGGGGTTGGTGGAAGTTTGGAGAGGGTCAGGCTGCCCAGCAAAATGAAATGCACCCCTCCCCGTTTCAGTGCTTTTGCTGGGAAATCTGCTGGGGGCACCCTGGGCCTGTCCTCGTCCATCTTGGGAAAGGTCCTAGGACTGCTCCAGCGTTCTCAAAAACGGCTTTCTGTTTCCAGTGTACTGGCTGGCAGGAGCTGAAGTTTGTTTCACTGTTTGTGCCTCTCTGTTCCTGCTCCCCTTCGTTCTGCTCCAGTTTATGCAAGAGCAAAGAAAAGAGGAGTAAACTACTCTGAAACTGTTTTCCAAGAAACTCAAATCAACCTGAAGTGGCGAGCCAAGAAACCAGGTTGACTCTCGGAAACCTAACCCTGGCATCAGTGTGTTTTTCATAGCGTCCCTACATGGTCTTTGCATTGATCTGAGTGGAAGTACCTTCTGCGTCCTGCTCTGGGGCTTTCTGTGGGAGTATGGGGGGGGGCAGTGTCTGAGCCCAAAAAAGAGCAATAACCCACGAAAAAGGGCCTTTTGGTAAAGCCGCCTGTCTGCAAATACGACTGTTGCGATGCCTGCCTGCTCAATCCATGGATCATAACCCAAATACTGCAAAGCGTCCTATGGTGCAGGGTCCTCCTCCGTCCAGCTGGGAACAGCCCAGGGACACCTCGCCGTTCCAGACACGATGCTCGTGCACACCTTTGCTGGTTGGCCCACGAGGTCTTTACTGCGAGGCAATGAGACCCAACGCATGCCATCTTTGGGTGGGCCAGCCGTGGATTAGGGCTCCCCAAGTTTGATGCGAAGGTTGTTAATGCACCTGCCCCACAGGGGTCTTCGCGGTTTTTCCTTGCCTTCGTCTAGATTGCTTTTTCCTCCTGTCCCTCCTATCTCTTTTGATTTCTGGACATCATTCTTATCTTAGTTATGTCTTAATTCCCCTTTCTGCTTTCTGAGTACACAAACCAGCGAAAGCCCTTTCCTCTCTTTGGGTTCTGAGGAAGGAGAGGAAAACTCTGCATATTAGATTACTGCAACTGCTGAAGGTGTAGACCTCTTCCACTCCCTGCAGCAAAAGCACTGACTTGGCCAAAGACCACGGAAAGCTTTGTGACCCTCAGCTTCCTCCACTGAGGCTCCATAGAAGCAGAAGGCCGCCATAATGACCCCTTTCAGCAGAGACGAAAGCCCCAAGAGAGGAGGCTCTGCAGCTGCTGGGTTTTGGCCAATCTACTCCTGAAATGTGGGAGTGATTCACTGGGAGGATCCAAGGCTGTAACTCCCCTGCCATCATTATCATGCTGGGAAATCGGGGGGGGGGGGGGCTGTAGATCACAACATTTTTCTAAAATTCTAAGGTGAATCTCATTAAACACAGTAGAGCAATTTTCGGTACACAGAACCACCTGCCTTAGAAAAATAAGACACTTTCTCTTCAAAACGTAAAAGCGAGGTAAAGTTTTTTAAAAAGAAAATTCTTCTAAAACTAGCATGCATTCTCAGCCTTCCAAACATGGGATTCTTAGAAAGTTTAAATATCAGGTCCCCAGTTCCTTTCTTTCATTGCCTCAGATCTGTTGCCATTTTGCATTCAAATCATGATGCCAATTCAGGGTGAGAAAAAAAAAAACGATTGAGGAAACAGGTACCCCCTTTTCTTAAATTTTGTCACTTCTAATAATGTCATCCTACTTTCCTTCTTTCCCAGGGAAGACAGACAGCCAGATGGGCAGGCAGGCAGGCAGGCAGGCAGGCAGACAGGTCAGCACCATCAGGCTGTGCTCTCTCTCCTCCCAAATACCACCTTCGTTCCAGGAAAATGTTCTTCCTCAGTGAAGAAGCCATGATAGACATTCCTGGCAGCCATGAATGGAAGCGGTGTCCCTTTCTGGAGAGAAATAATTCAGCCATGACTAGAGGCCACTCCATGAGACACCTCTACTGACCCTGAGGCCTCTTCCAGTATAGTCTTTGCTCACCAGGCAGTAAAGATTCCCTCCAGTTGAGTTGGACTCCTGGGGACTTCTGGGGCACGTCCGTGTAGTTTTCCTGGCAACAGGAGAGGAGTGGTTTTCTGTTGCCTCCTTTTGAACTGTGTCTTCAGCCTCCAGCCGGGGCTCTCCTGGGCCTGATCCAGTCCCCAGTCCTGCCACCTAGGGAACGGCTACCAGGTCCACAGGCGGCTTGGGCCGGAGTTCAGAAATGCCACCGGGGCTATCTGTCAGGTCCTGCGTGGCAGCCTTTCCTGACAGAGGCATTCCCGTTCGCCGCAGGCTGCCTGCGTCCAC